GGCTGGCCATGAGTTCCAGGGTAGGGGAGCCTGGCTGAGGGTGGGAAGGCTGGCCATGAGTTCCAGGGTAGGGGAGCCTGGCTGAGGGTGGGAAGACTGGCCACGAGCTCTTGGTTAGGGTGAGCCTGGCTGCGGGTGGGAAGGCTGGCCATGAGTTCCAGGGTAGGGTGAGCCTGGCTGAGGGTGGGAAGGCTGGCCATGAGCTCTGGGGTAGGGGAGCCTGGCTGAACAGATCATAAAATGTACAGGTCGCTGTAGACCATGTGAGTGGCTCCTTTAGAGGAGTGAGTGTCCTGACCTCAGTAGACTGTTTTAGGAGGGCTGAGGCTGGAGAAGCCCGAGAGAAGCCAAGAGCCTCCATAACTGCTTGTCTCAGCCCACAGAGTCTGGAAGAGCCATGGGGCTCAGGGCTGAGCTGTGTGCTTTCCTGACTGGACTTTCGTTCCTCCTGCTCCTGATGTCAGGCCAGGGGGCCAGAGGAGGATCTTTCAGACACAGGTGACAGCAAACGGGGGAGGGGCAAGGTGAGGTCTCGGCTGGGGCCAGATTTGGTAGGCGGAGGGCGTGAGGGACTCAAGGTTGCCGAGGGCGGCCACACTCAGCGTCTCCCACCTCCACCCCGGCATGGCTGCAGTTCGGGTGTCTGCTCCAACCGGACACTGGTGGTTCCGCTCCGTTACAACGAGTCCTACAGCCAACCGGTCTACAAGCCCTACCTGACCCTGTGTGCTGGGAGACGCATCTGCAGCACCTACCGGTGAGACCAGCCCCACGACTCCAGGGTCTCAAAGGGACCCCAAGAGCCAAGCCCAGGATGGGTGCCCCGAATCCTGACCCGGGTCTATGTTCTAGGACCACTTACCGCGTGGCCTGGAGGGAGGTGAGGCGGGAGGTACAGCAGACACACGTGGTGTGCTGCCAGGGCTGGAAGAAGCCGCATCCAGGAGCTCTCACCTGTGAAGGTGAGGTTGGGACCTGAGGCCTTCGTGGGAGGCGCTGGGAAGCTGGCACTGAGTCCGGGTCTTAACTCCTTCCTCTCGAATGCACCCCAGCCATCTGCTCCAAGCCTTGTCTTAACGGAGGTGTCTGCACTGGACCGGACCAGTGCGAGTGCGCCCCCGGCTGGGCAGGGAAGCACTGCCGCCTGGGTAAGCAGCGGGGCGCCCCATCCCAACGGGGCGGGCGCTGGCATCTCCCCACCCACTGTGGCGCCCTGCCCCCTTCAGCCCCCTCCTCTTTCTGGTGACTAGACGTCGATGAGTGCAGGACCAGCCTTACCCTCTGTTCTCACGGCTGTCAGAACACCCTGGGCAGCTTCACATGCAGCTGTCCGCACCCCCTGGTTCTGGGTCCGGACGGACGCGCCTGTGCAGGGGGGCCTCTAGAATCCTCAACAAGTGCCAGCATCCTCAGCGTGGCAGGTGGGTACGGGACGCCCGCGGGGTGGGCCTGGGTCCCTGTAGTAGGTTAGGCCATGCTCACAGTCTCCTTTGTCCTAGTTCGGGAAGCGGAACGTGAGGAGCGGACCCTGAGGTGGGAGGTCGCAGAGCTGCGTGGGCGCCTGGAGCGGCTGGAGCAGGCGAGCAGGGGGCAGAGCCACAGGGGTGCAAGTGCACCCGGGACCCTGCCAGAATCCTGAGGTGCCACTTTCCTTTGCAGTGGGCCACACAGGCTGGGGCCTGGGTCCGAGCAGTGCTGCCCATGCCGCCTGAAGAGCTGCAGCCAGAAAAGGTGGCTGAGCTTTGGGGCCGGGGTGACAGGATCGAGTCCCTCAGTGACCAGGTGCTGCTGCTTGAGGAGAAGCTGGGTGCCTGTGAGTCCCCCGCTCCTCCTCCACACTGAAGACATAGCGTCAACTCGGCGTCTCCCTCCCGAAACCCTCCCACCGTCCTAACACCCAGGACCCCATCCTAACATCCAGGACGCCTGGCATCCTTGCTTATTGTTGGGTGACTGGCGGGGACACTCCCTCCTGACCAGAGCCACCTTGCCTCTTCGCCATTAACTAGGTGCCTGTGAGGACAACAGCCTGAACTGGGGGCTTGTGAGGACAACAGCCTGAACTGGGGGCCTGTGAGGACAACAGGCTGGGCCCAAGCCTCCATGGGTGACAAGAACTCCCGCAGCAGCCTGGATCCCTCGTTTACACAGAAACCGCCTGCTCTCTGGGATTGGCAGACGGGTATCGACCACCGAGGCACAAGGAGCCACAGAAAGCCCCCAGATCTCTCTTTCTCTTTATTCTCAGTTGCTTGCTGTTACCCAGATAATAAAAACCAACCACACAAAACTGGATCCCTCCCGTTCCTTCTGCCCCCAGCCTACCTCCTGGGTCTTAGGAATGGGTCTAGAGTGGGAGGCAGGGGGAGTGGCCAATGCCACTGGGAGGAAATGAAAACTGGCTCAGAGAGGGAGGTACCTCAAAAGAAAGAGAAATAAATTAAGCGCCCTCCTCTCCCTCACCAGGCTCAGGTTCTTTCCCCTAAGGCCCCAGGGAGCAGAGAGCAGCGTCTAGGGTCTGCCTCTCCAGAATTTGGTACGATGGTGCCAGGCCAGGACCCTGAAGACCTCTACCAGGGGGACAGGGGAGTAGAAATTGGCATCTGGAGTGTGCTCGGCCCCTGGCACGGGCAGGGGGAGACCTCGGAGTTACAAGAGCCCCGCCCCGCGGAGGGTGCCTGTGTTGAGGAGGGTCCCAGGCGAGCCAGTGAGGCGTGTTCAGGTTCAGCTCCCAGCCACAGGATGGGGAGTCCTCACCCGCAAATGGTCCCACTCAATCTGTGGACTCGGGTGTGGGATGGAGTGCTCCACAGAACAGATGAGTCCATTGTCCAGTGTGGGGTGGGGAGGGAGAGAAGGCCACAAAGAGACCACTGGGGAAGGGATGGGATGGAATGTCCCCCACCCTTGTATCCGATGAGCCACTTGAGATGAGGGGAGGCAACTGTCCCACAAGACAAGGTGGCAGGTGGGGATCGGAGCGGAGACTGTACCCACGCGGGAGAGTCCAGGGTGGGCGGGGAAGGACACGGAGTGACGCTTATCCATAATCACTTCAGAACTTGAAGATTCCAAAAGGAGAGTGGGGAGTGGGGACCAGGAAGAGGGCCTGGCCCTGCTTCAGGCTCTGGGGCGGAGGCGTGGGAGAAAGACGGAGGGGAGGAGGAAGTCAGAGCCGGGCCTCGCCCGCTCCCCCAGGCTTTTTCAGACAGTCACCGCCACCCAGGCCATCAGTGGAGATCTCCCGGAAGATAGTGAGCATGGAGTGCCGGACTCTGTCTGCCAGAGCTGGGACATCATCTGGTGTCAGCCCTTCTGTGGGCACTGGGGGCAGCACCCGCACCTGACATCGTCCTGGTGGGATGAGGAACAGCGTCATGGCCGACAGACACTCTTGGGTCTCAGCCAGCTGCAGTGCAGTCCCGCCACGCCTTCCCTCCACCTTCCGGGTCTCCTGGTCACCAGGATGACCGCTGCTCTGCTCGCCAGCCGCTGACACAATCCTCAGCCGCCTGTCCAGGCCTCTCCACGATTCCAGCGTGCGGCCGGTGTGCAGAGCTGTCTGTTCTCAGTGCAGCCCTGCACACACCAGCTTCACCTCCCCTCCAGACTGTAACGGTCCCTCTTGGGAGACCGGTCCTACCCACCTGGCGCGTCCAGCGGGTACCTAAGGTCCCCCTGCCCCAGGGCCTCCCTGGCCACGCCCTCCCCGGCCCCGCTCAGAGCCCTCAGGGCAGGTGTGCTCACCCGAGGTGAAGCGGCGCTCCTTCTTGCAGTAGAAGTCTTGGTAGGAGGACATGACTATGGGGATAATGGGCACCTGGGAAGAGGGAAAGCCGGTGAGCGCACGCGCCCTGGGCAGGAAGGAGGCGGGTCTGGAGGCTGGTGAGCAGAGAGCAGGGGTCACCTGGGCCTGGACTGCAAGGTGGAAGGCGCCACGTTTGAAGGGCAGCATGGAGCCATTGTGGTTTCTTGTTCCTTCAGGGAAAACCCAGACTCTCACCTGAGGGAAGGAGGTCAGAAGAGCACACGTAAGGAGGGCCGGTGGCTGCCATGCTCTAGCGATGACGACGACACACCACTATCAGTGATTCGCAATCATTTATTCCCTAACCCCCAAAAACCCCATCTCAGGAAGACTCACATCCTGGGTAAGCAGGGTCTGGGCCACCTCAGACATGACACTGATGGCATCTCCCGTGCGTTTCCGGTCAATGAAGATGACTCCTGCCAGCCAGCAGGCCAGTCCGGCAGAGCCAGCCCATAGGAGCTCACGCTTGGCAATGGGCACACAGCGATCTGGCAGCACCTCCATCATCCCTTGGCAGGGGTGAGGATGAGGTACAGATCAGGGTAGATATAAGCAGGATCACAGCAGGTGCCACACCCACTCCAGGTCCCACCCACACGAACTGAAGAGAGTGGGTTGGAGAAGGCCTGAGAAATCAGAGCTGACTACAGGTGTAGGCACCTGCCGAGGGCAGACCCACCCGGGGAGAGGAGACCCGAGGAGGGATGGCATTCAGGAGGAGGGGGAATTAAGGGCCTCTAGGAAAGCATGTTTGGGGGGCGGGGCCCTGTGATGAGGCCTCACCGAGCAGGTCGAGGGAGCTCTGGTGGTTGGAGACCACAACGTAGGGCTGTGTGGGAGGGAAGTGTTGAGCCCCCCGCACCTCCACGCGGATCCCATACAGGTACTTGATGTGAAGCAGCAGCAGACGCAAGATCCTGTGGGTCATGGCAAGGGGGCCCAGTGGGATCCACTGATGCCCACCAGCATGCCTCTGTCTCTGCGCCCGCCTGCCTACTGACTTCCTGGCCATCTTTGCAGTCCCTCCCCGCATCTTGTCTCTGGACTTGTGTCTGAGTTCTTCTCCCCGCAAACCTTCCACTCCCTTCTCACCCTGGGTCCCCAGACTGACCGCTGCTCGCCCCTCAGCCCCTTACTTCATGTTCTCGACATTGCGTCCTCGGACGGCACACACGGGGATCGCGAGGATAGCCAGCAGGAGGATCCAGCCGTTGTAGAAGCCCATCTTGAAGAAATACTTGGCACTGGGGCTGCAGAACCACAGGGTGGACAGCAGGAGGAGCAGCAGCAGCAGCAGCAGCGCCGTCCAGGCCCCGGGCCACAGCTCCATTCTGGTCACCTGCAGGTGAGAGGAGCCAGGTAGAACGGGAGGAACCCAGCCTGAGACCGCCGTCTGCTGCAGCTCCAGGACTCCGGATACAGACAGACAAGAGCCCCCAAACACCCACAACTCTCAGGTGAGTGACAAGGGAACAGCAAAGACACAGCTAACATTCGTGGCTGGAAAGGACTATTTCTTTTGAGGCAAAGTTCATTCTAACCCAAGCTGACCTGGAATTCTGTAGCCCAGGCTGGTCTCTAATGCACAGTGACCCTCTCTATCTCTTGCAGGCATGAGGCACCACAGCCGGCAGTGGATGGGCAGTCTATCCCTGTACTGTCCACTCCCAATGGAGAGGGACGACTGGGAATATTAAATGCATACCAGACTCTTGAGGATTCTGGGTGGAAAGCAGACATGTAAAACGTCCCATTACTAACACCCCACTCCAGGCTGGACCCTGCACAGGCTGGGAAAGAGCACCAGCACTGAACCTGATCGTTTCCTACCCATTCTTCTGGCTCTGTTGGCCTCAGTTAGATACACCAACAAAATGGGCTTCACTGATTCTTTTCACCATTTTTATTGTGGTTATCAGAAGTTTAAAGAGCGGCTCCATTTTATTTCTGGTGGACAGTGCTGTTTATTAGTATGTTAAATCCTATGTATGTGAGTCCACCTGATAGTTTACAAAGTACTATTAGCATTACTGGTTTCACTGGAAATGGCTCAAGGAGAGCAAAGAGCTTACCTGAGGCCAAGCAGCTCCTCAGCAGCAGTTTCTAGGTTTATAGGTACCTAAGCATCCTGAGTCGTACTACATACTCTCACTTACATACACACACACACACAGCAGACATGGAGACAGTGACCGACAAGCACCATGGAACAAGTCGGAGATCCAAAAAACTCAGGCATACAATATGTTCACACACACACACACACACACACACACACACACACACACACACACAATCACACCCAGTGACAGATAAAGGAATATAAATACACATCTAGAAAAATCTCTTCTCCCTGCAGTGCGGTCCTTTATGACCCTACACCCCACGTAACAATGCACTTCTACAGACAGACAAACAAACCCAACTATTCCCTTCCTTCCTTCTGGCCTCTTGGAGGCAATGTGGGCAGGCAGGTCATATGAGAGGCCTTATCAAAGAGACTGCAGAGTAAAGGAACTTCCAATCACCTGCTCAGGAAGAAGAGATGCATGCATGCATGCAGAACCTGTCTTCCGGGCGTTCCTCTTTGCTCCACTCTGTCCCTCTGCCAGCTGATAAAATGGGTGTTCTCTACCTGTCTCTCCAAGCAGGTCAAAGGCTCTCCCTTCCTAAAACTGCAATGGCCCAGGAGGACACACAAGTCCACCTCTATCCCCCAGAACTCCAAACAGCAGGCTTTCCAAACAGTTCCGTCCAGCACCTTCGTTCCCTGAGCTATACACTGCATGAGGTTAGGGCTGCTCTCCACTCCTCGTCATACGGCCACCAGACAGACTTCTGTGACCTAAATCTGAGCATTCCTCTTTCCAAAAGGCCTTTCTCGAGAAGTTGACTTGTGCTTCTGTCTCTGCCCCCATCTCCAGAATGATTTTCTTCACTTCCTCAGATCTGCCACAAGTCCTTTGCGCGCTTCTATGTTCATAACTATACTGCTCCCTATGGCTGGCAGGCCCTACCTCCTCTTGCTTTACACAGCTCAGTGCCACCTTCCAAATGTCTTTCACAACCTCGCCAGGCCCAGGTTTTCATTACAAATTTCTAGCACGTCCCTGAATATCCCGAGACTGGTTGTGACGATCTTCCTGCCTGTACCTCCTGAACGCTGGGACTAAAGGTGTAGGCCACCACACCTTGTATGATCACTGGTTGTCAAGGTGTAGAAACGTAACTTCTGGGCCTCGCCCAGACATAATGAACCCTGGGCACCGGGCCAGCCTGTATTTTAACATGCCTTCCAGGTAAGTCTGCTGTACACTGGGCTTGAGAACTACTGATATC